GTGAGTGAATATATAGAGGGCCACAAGTTTATTAGTCTAGAGACTATTACGTGCTACCCTCTCAAAAATAAAAGACTTTATCTCCCCTTAACCTAGAGCTATCTCGCTGTCTGCTATGAGGTTTTGCTTCCATGACKTCTTTTGTCTACAAGATTTTCAAGGCAGTTTCCRACCAATATCATTCTCATTCCTTGATACTAATTTCACCACTGCCTCATCAATTTAATAATTATCTTTGCAGATCCTAGCTACATTTCCTCACGAAATTCAATCYGACGTCTGCATGCATCTATACAAAGGATTGCTTGAATTGCCAYTGTTTAGTCAAGCACCACGCGGGCTGGTTCGAATGCTGTCTTTACAAATACGACCKGTTTATGTAGGCCCTGGTGAATATCTCTTGATGCARAATGATGTAGTTAACTGTATTTATTATATCGCAAGTGGWTCGATGGAAGTTCTTCAAGGGGAATCCGTGGCAGCAATATTAGGTCAGTATTCTATTGGTATCAATAGTTAACTCCTTTATAGTTGTTACAAAAGACAAGTTATTCTGGAGAGAATCGGAAAGGACATGCATAAGAGCATATGTAACCTGAAACTGGAGAAGACTGCCAGCGTGCGTTCGAGCACTTTGAGGTGTGGTAAAAACAGGGAGCTGCTCGCCTAGAAACATATGCATTCGGCTACCATTGTATCCAGTGTTCGAATAGTTGTATCAGTTTTAGTTTCTTATAACGGTTAAAATAGAGATGAGATGGTTGAATTAGATGAGATAGAGACCGCTAAAGACTCGTTAAATATCCGTTCTCTTTCTCATAGAAGGAGTAACTTTGCAGCTCTATTGCCGTTTCAGATCTTCCTTGAAGTGAATAAAAGTAAAGTCCGCACAAATTATCAAGACCATTCAACAGAATACTCGCACCCCTCACCTTTGTCACGATATATTTTCAACATTTGCTTTCCAAGAAATAACGGCCCGTCTACTGTTGAATCATTTAATCATTTATTCTTCTGTAGACGGGATAGCAAATCAAATTGAACCCCTTGTATGGTCACAAAAGGGCAAACTGACCAAAGCTATCAATTTTGTTGTAGGAAAGGGAGACCTTTTTGGAGAAGATATATCGCGAAAAGTTCCAATTCGAAGATCCAATGGTGACGTTCGAGCTCTAACGTACTGCGATATTTACTACATAACACGTGATCTGCTCCAAGATGTTCTCCACTTGTATTCCGACTTTTCATTCAAGTTCTCGGAAAAACTTGAACTGACATATGACTTGGGTGCCAGTGAGGTAAGAGAACCAGACGTTCGAATAGCCTGTAAGAGAACAGCAGAAAAAAAAACTATGCTTTATGAAAAACCATTATTCGTGATATGTTCCATACTCTGGTTCAGTGACTACTAGAAAAACATTGAATCGAGGMGTGAAGGTAATCTGAGCATAAAAGAAAAGGACTGTGCTCAGTGTATCTTCGTGGTCAATGAACCTGGGCATGGATTTATCGTGAACAAAAAACTTCTGAAGAATTGCGAGAATCATTCATGTCGGTAAAGATGACTGTTCTTTCAATGATAACTATATAATCCTTTTGCATTCTAGAAAGACATCTGGAGACGCGGTGGACTTGATTCGATATCCGAAGACGAGGAAAATGAAGAAGAAACAAGTGATTCTCCGGAAACTGGTTCTGATTTTACGTCTTCAGTAATAAGAAATCGTTTTGACATGAAATCAAGTGGAGTACCAAAACGACCTAATCATTTCACTGCTAATGAAMCTTGGAGATTCTACTCTCGACCAAGGATACGGGGYCTTGATTTCAATGAAAAGGAACCWCTTCTSTCTACCCCAGAGGATGYKCCACAGCTGKCCAGCAGAATCAGGGTYCTTCAGCCTTCTAACAAACAAATATCATTGACAGAGATCAGTGGAAGCAATGACCAAATTGATTCAGCTGAGGTTGCGACCCTTGAGTGGGAAAACGAGCCATTCACAATCACCAAAGATGAAGAGGCAAGTGAAAGCATCGACGGAGGAAGCCAACATTTTGTGGTAGATTCTATTAACATTGACATTGAATGTGGCACCAACAGCCAGGATCTAGGAGATTTTGAAACTGGAAGCCCTCGTCCTGCTCTCGAGAAGAGCTACAAAAGCGCAAAAGACTCTTTTCTAAAACAACTGCGTTCCAACACAGAGGACCGCGACCAATCGCGGTCAAACTCAATCAAATTAGTGTATAGTGATAACGAATCTGACGATAGTGRARACCTTAAACACAGCCGTGAAGACCGCGTTGGTTTTAATGACTATGCAAGGCCAGCGCGGAGTCCTTCTATTGGTATGAAACGGCGTTCACCAAATGTCAGCCCAACACACAGCTTAAACAGCAACAGATCACAACGTATGAGAAAGAGCGGAAGTAGTTTGCAACGACTTGAATTTCCAAGCTCAGAAGGTCTCCAGGAAAATCATGCCAATCAACTTAACCATCAAGATAGCTCGAGGCATTTGTCCCCTTCTCCTGCCACAGATAGTCCCTATGTTAGTATTAGTCGGTTATTTGCACTAACRCCTCCTCCGAAAGATGACAACGATTCCCCTTATGGCATACACTATGCCAGCACACCATCCAGTCCCGCAAGGTTCAAAGACGGTGGCTCTAAGACCTCGTTACGAAGAAACGCAACTTCAGAGTTTATTTCCCCTGCAAGCTCATGTGGTGGTCTTAGTGATGAYGTGCGATCGACAGCATCACGACGAAGCCGTAAAATGTCAACAACTAACGCTCCACCACCATCTTTGTTTGCGTCTTTGCTTGCACAAGCTTCAAAGAGTCCGTACGCCGATTTTGTACCACCAACAATTGTCCGTGAATCGACAATAACGTGTAATTGCGAGGAAGAGGAAAGTTGTAGTGTGTGCGGAGATAGAGATTCTTCAGCGGGAACAATGAATGATAATCTGAGCAGCAACGATTCTGAAGATGGCGACGAAAGAAAATTAGATAAACATATCGAAAGTAATAAATCAGACTCGGCTTCAGACTTCGAAGACAGAAAAAGAGATGCAAAKTCTGCCAACGAACCAGATTTTTCCTCGCAAATTTCTATAAATTATTTATTTGAACCTTTAACGYCATCAGCTTCAATCGATCTGAATGTGCCCAGCGAAAATACAATAATTGATTCTCCTGATTGCCTTTTAAGACGAAAACGTCAGTTGATGACTCGAGAAACGGCGGTTTATTCCTCAGCTTCACAAGGAGATGAAGATGAACCAGAGGATAATACTCCTAAAGACAAAGATTACAATATTTACAAAATAAGTTATACTTCTCCCAGTTTTGACAACATTTCCCAAAATGATAAACGGACATCGAATGAAAGCATTAGAACTGATTTAAAAGAAAACTGCAGCGACAATAACTTTACAGACACTGTTGGTTCCGCATCCATTAACGATAAGATGACTGACGAAAATGCACCAACAAGAAGYCATCCATCCTTAGTAGTYACTGAAAATAGAGAATCCTGCGAAGGTAACAGACCAAGAGAAATCGGTTCGCCGAGTATTTCATATGATAAAAACAATTGCGAAGAAACACAGAACATARCCAGCTCCTCGGAGGATGTTAGGCACTCAGAAGTAAATTGCTACGATAAAAGTGAGTTATCAAGCGTTGACGAAGAATTCATTGCAAGCGCTTGTGATCAAAAAGACAACAATTTGCCTAGGGTATCGACTGAAAAACAAGAAACAGGAGTCATTCCACCGTTTTTTGATGAAGTAATTGCCAAGGGCAGTGGAACATTTGACCCCACACATTATCCCCGTACATCAAATAGTGCTCATTCATCATTGTCAACAGTTTCTTCGCACCTTCTCCCAACATTCCAGTGTCCCGGTTCGTTAACAGATATGAGCGTTTCGAATGCCGCGTCGAGGGACAGTCTCGGTCTCGCKAACGACATGCAATTCGAGGACCCTTTTCACATGCGAAAACCCACAATTTCAGGAATCCATTCCACTCACTCACTCAACGATGTACCGAATTCTCATCGAAAATTTGCTGCCTCGCATCCTTTGTGTTTTTCTGAGCCACACCTACAGCGACCTAGAACAAGTCCACAGGATAAACAMGACGACGACGACGACGATGAYTCTGAATTTAGCGACAAGCAATTAGAAGACATTTTTAAAGACGTAGCAAACGCGCGACAGGCAATGGAACGTCTTCAGATGATCCTCTCTTCTCCTGAACCAAACATCACCTCAGATTTAGCAGACACAAAGGAAACGGTTAAAAGACTAGACAAACAAGTCTTGCATCTGAACCAAGATGTGACGTCACTCAGGAGTGACGTCAAGATGGTGTTAGAATTACTGAAAGGGTTTAAGAACGGCCAAATCGTCAACAAATGAAATTTTATAACTCCAATCAAGAGAATATATTTATGATGAGATATTACAACGCCAGTATGATATTGTAAGTAGAAATTGCAAARGTTTGGGTGATGAATTATTTATTTATGAGTTTTAATACTTGACTATAAAAAAAAAATCCGAAATTAGCTAAAACACATATAGCACAAAATATCCTTTTTAACYAGGGCTGGATAATCAGTCGTTTGAGCACTAATGCATTATGGGGGATTTTTCGGAAAACTGTACGACAACGATCAAGAAAATTCGAAAAAGAAGACTCCGCCAAATTTGTTAAAGTGTCTTTGATATGAAAAGCTAATTAACGATGAGAATATATTTCATACTTCAATATTTCATATTTTTTTGTTCATATTTTGCTTAAATCTACGTGGAATACCGTATTCTGAAGGATTTTTTTTTCAAGTAGAAATGAAAAGAAAATGCGAAAAACTCGGCTTATCTCATTAGACACCGAGACTAACATACTTTTGYCCTTTTCGCGGTTAGAAAAGAAGTTGCGCGAGTGCCCTGTGCTTTTGCACCAAAGCGAGGTAGAGTCTAGCAACAACCAAATATTGTCTTTTGGAGTCGTTTATCTTTTTGCAATAATTATAAAAATAATTTTTGTTGGTGAAAAAGGTCATAATCTCTTGACATGACTTAGCACTCGTGTTCACTTGAAGGCTGCAGCAAACATTTTGCCCGCTTTGCTTTTCACCGCGAAAAGGTCTATTTGAGTTGTCCGCAATGTACGCTATAGAGCTARCGGTCTCCATTGCATGCAATAGGCACTTCAGCTGTGTCGGTGTCAAAGATGCTTTGCGTGAATCTAGCTGCAGCTTTTATACAGAAAACAGCACAAAAAMTTACATTTTGTTACCTGATCACGAGCTGCGACCGAACGAGGTACCAAACAAAATCAATACTAATGCAAGCTATTAAAATACCTATCGACAATCTATCATAAGGAATAGTTTTGAGATCGCATTTTATAAGTTTGAGTTTTAAGCAAAAGTATTTTGTAATATATATATGCACTGGTATTTTCAAGGAGTTGATATAACTTCAAAARAGGATAACTCCTTTTCCGGAATAGATTCAACCCCACCAACTTTAACTGCACATGGAGCAATTTTGAACCCCTTTTGGAGTAAGTTTAACTTTCTTTCCGAGTTGATTAAAACCTCTGGAGTWAAAACTACTCGCATTGTAGAGTAGATTTAACTCTTTTTAAAGATACTCCACGAGGTATAGTAACTTTAACTCCATTGGTGGAGTTTTTGCAAATCCTTGAAAATAGCACTGTAGTGAAGTTTAGGAATATTTTATGCCTTCTTGAGCTTTCTCAAAATTTCTTGAGAAGGTAATGTCCTTTAATGGTTTATTTAAAACCTGGAAAGTTCTATATCTGTTACTCAGGGTGTACACTAGTTCTTTATAAAGACGATCTAAGACAGATAGGAATTATGTGAGCTTAATCTGTATGAGAAAAACATCGTAAAGACCGAATTCGACGACACAACGTTTGCCTACGACCATTGCATTCAACCAAGTCGTCATTACAACATGGATCTACAACTGTCTTTGGGATTTAAAACAATTGCCTAGTATTCCTACAACATTTGTAGCCATGTTGTAAGGATGACTTACGCAGGTTACATGCGATGGTTGTAGGCAAAAGTTGTGTCGTCTAAATCGGCTTTAAAATGATCTCAAAACCCCTAAAAAGTTAGACGGAATAACTTACGAATAAAAACGCGCTAATGATATTTTAATAATTTCCCAATTCTTATTGGCCACCCCTCGACCATTTCACCGCTCGTGCCAATTCCTGTGGCCCTTTGGTTTGGGAGGGCGTCACCATAATTTCATTGACGATATCTGAAATTARTATACACCTTTTTCTAGACGCAGAGCAACGGGGCTATAGCTAAGGTGGTGTTAGAGACAATTTTAAACGCAGATTTTCCGCGGAATGTTGTACCATTACGCCAAAAATAAAAAAAAAACGGTGTTAAGAGTTGCCCTCAGTAACATCACCTTTATGCCGGAATATTTTATCGGCAAAAATACATAATATTTTTATAGTCTCGTAATATAGTTAACACTAGATACATTTATTTTGTCAATAAACAGAACTTTCTAATTCTAGTGGTTGYTTGATTTATCATTGGAAGGATTTGATAAAATTTTTACCAAATGGTGGTCATCTTGATTTCGAAAGAAAAAAAATGAATATTTTATACACTGCACAGCTCCAAGAGTGTTTTAAAATTAAATGCAATTGAATAATAGGKCTTTTGTATCAATTTGTCACAAGGTACAACAAAATCCGCCATACTGGATAACAATTAGTATCCATATGTCTATAAAAATAACCTTTAGTCAACCAAGAAGTTACTTTGCTTTGAGATATATGGAGTAAGCAACTTCAAAAACAAAATTATCTCTACTTGGTTGACTTTGGTTGGTTTTATAGCCATAAGATTTTTAATTGCCATCCAKTGTGTCGGATTTTAGAGTCATTTTCATCCGTCTGTGAAACAATTACCACTAGTCAGTGTTTAATAGTAACTATTAGGGTGTAGTAGGCTACTAAAAGGCAAAATCAAAACCGTGTTTAGCTAATTAGTTTGTCGCATGTCATAAGTTAAACTATTGGGAGTTAATAGGGGGTAATAGTATTTCATAGTACAATTCCTATTTCACAGACGGATTAAAATGACTCTAAACCATCTRACCGATTGATTCAAAAGCCCTATTTGAGCCAAATAGTGAAAGTGCTGCYTCAAGTGCTCATGAAAGTTTGTTTTACTCTAATCCTTCACTTGCATATTTTATTTTCATTGATGTTAAGACGTGAGATTCGGTTTAAAAACTAATATTTCAGAGCATAGTATCATTAAAAGCAGCACCAGAAGCAAGGAATCAAATGGAMCTACATCGAGCATTAGCAAGTAGCGCTGCATTGGGCGAATAGGAACACCCCAATCATTGCATCCAGTTTCTTGAATTATGTACAGCAAAAACTTAACAGAATGCAGTTATTTCCATAATACATTGCACATTGTAATACATCATTTCCAATAAACATAAACTGGAGGTTCGCATGCGTCACTTCTACACCTGGGTGTGGTTCTAGTTATATCATACAACATTTTTCCAGATGACGGAGAGCAAACTAGTGCTTGCACGTTATAATATTTACATAGTCAATGCATGGGTCAGACTCAAAGGAATTCACTATTATTATTCAAAGTCATTAGCAAACAACTGTCTTCCTAACTGCCATAACGTTTCACACATACTGTAATCCTTATCAAGCATTGCCTGAAGGCTGAACACTGATCCCGTTGAAAGACAAAGAGCGAAAATGCACTAGAGCACCTTTTGAACAGTATCCGGATAGAATTCAAGGGAAAGTGCTGGTATGAAAATAACATGACATGACACTCAATCGCGGTCATTACAATTAATCACTATGTGACTGTTTGGGACTTTAATACAACGAGTCAAGTGTCACAACAAACCCCACAACAAGGAACTAGAAATGAAGCCCTCGTTTGTTTTGCTAACTCTGGTTTTGTTCGGTTTTGCTGTCCATATCGAAGCAGCTAAAATAGCAGTGCTTCTGTTCCCTACAGCCAGCCATTTCTTCATGATGGAGTCGGTTGGCCAGAAGCTGGAGTCGAGAGGTCACCAGGTAAATAATCAAATCTAWAACGCTTTAATAACTTATTGGTGTAGAAAAGATTGCAGTGGTCCCTTACTTAAGCGAAGGTAATTTGGCAAATTTACGCCGAGATCTTAGAGCGCAAACACTAACYCCGTGAACAGAAAGACGTCAACATTGTTACAAGTAGTTTAATTAATTGCCATCATTCAACCAGAATAGTCAACAGTCCACAACAACAACAACAAAAAATATAATTGCAAAAAGCCAAGTGGTCTATACGTAATGCCTCGTTATAGAGTGGCTTTCACTAGAGTGATGTAAAGGCACGTTTACACTTGCGATTTTTGCAGCGCGATCATTGCCAATTTGCTATCGCGCAACTCAAATCATACGTAAACAGCACTGCAATTGTTGCCACGATGGAAAATAGCCGCGAAGTTTCAGCCAATTTTCAAGCATGTTCGAAACTCAGGCGATTGTTGCGCGACGATCGCCGCGAGAATCACTCTGCAAAAATCGCAAGTGTAAACGGGACTTAATAGTAGCTGAGTTGTTAAATACTAAAGACACCCAAAATGTTTTTGGAATATGCATGCCATGCTTACGACTGCAGTTTGTTTAACTTTCTATCAGAGGAAATTAAACGTATTCATTTTTCCTCTTTGCAATGAGGGCTTAGTAAGAGCKGGTCTCCCGTTTACACTTACGACTTTTGCAGCGCGATTGTCCTCCCGGCGATCSTTGCGCAACCATCGCCTTAGTCGGTTTAGGACATGCTTGAAATTTAGCTGCAACTTCATGGCGATTTTCGATCGCCGCAACAGTCGCAGGGCTGTTTACACGTACGATTTGACTTTCGCAATAGCAAAGTGTCGATTATCGAGCTACAATCGCACTGCAAAAGAGCCTTTCAAACCGCAAAACTTGGATTTTTCCTCACTTTTTCCATCATTCGCCGTTAAAAGAAATCGATTAACAATAAATGTTACGGCATTCTTACTGAATGCGATATYTTATAACGAAATCCACACATAAAAGTGCATTAAAACCATAAACCGCGTTACAAAATTTACGCAACCGAGGGATGTCTTGACAACCGAAAACCGACAGAAAAATGAGAGAAATACCGAAAACAGACCTCTGACATAATGCCAAGAATTGATCAACAGTAAAAACCTCGCGCCACAAGTCATTATATTTGCTTCCTTCCACCTCGGGCTAGTCACAACAGGAAGCTGAGACCCACACGAATATTTGATATTGCTATTCGCAAAACCAACTGTTTCATCGTCAGACACAGCTTTAATCAATAGGTTCTTCAAATATTCACCACGTATTTTGTGAACTGCGGGGGATAATGGCATTTTCATATTATTTATTAATCATTATGCAATTGTATATTCTTATATCTCACGTACTCTTCAATCTAGGTGCATAACAATCAATAAATAAATRACTTGAATTAGAAGGAGACCAAAAATTCATGTAACAAATACTGTACTTACTGCCAGTAATTTTGATGTCCATAGGCTGCGCGCCCTCGAACAATGATAAACAGTTAAACCCACAGAGGAGGTTAATATGCGGTTATATGGCTACAGAGGAGGTTACTTACTGATAACTGTATGATTTATAATGCAGGAGGAGAAAACAGGGTCTGTTCTTCTTCAAAAAACTGAAACCTTATACAAAAAATCGGCTTATATGTTTTGTAAGTTAGGAAATTTTTATTTCCCTGGCAAAAATTCTTAGAAAGTATTCCTTGCCTGGAGAATTTCTCGCTGGCAATCAGTTGTKGCTTRCAGTTGGCTGGGACATAAGAACAGATGYATTTCTYCCAGGAACCCGTCGGGATATACGCGATATAGTGCCCATTAAATAGAAACGATTCAATTGCATACTAATAAACAGCTTAGTATTCGAGAATAGATTTTCAGGTTTTCAAGGTACCTTTCCTGCACAAATTGACTCGCTACTTTCGCTYTCAATATTCCAGGTTACGTATCTCATGTGGTCAGTTGAACCATTGTTTGAAAAAGCTCAAGTCAAATCGAAGATTTTGTTCCACATACCGAAATATCCGAAAGGATACTTCCTACAGCAAACAGCTAATAAAGTCATCAAGGACGGATACATGTCGTTAAGTTTTATGGAAAAATTCATTTCACTGCTGACCGAAATGTGCGATGCATTGCTGAGCAACAAAGGTAAGYATTGCAACTTTTTTGTGGATGTTCATCAATCTCGCCTTCGTTTTTCTTGGCCGGCGCCGACGGAAAAAAAGAACAAAGTTGGCGCTGGGTAAGAACACAAAGCCTCGGGTTACGAGATTTGATGTTAATCTTAATGAATGATTTATGCTCCTCGAGTGTAGGTAGTGGCAGGACTTTAGATCGTTAAGTGACAAGCAACAGTAATGAGTGGTTATCCTTTGGTAGTAGGGTCCGATAATAGACTTTACTTCAAAATGGCCGCCGCTCACTAGCACGTCTWTCCCTCCTTGGGACAAAATGACCAATGGAATATATTGAAGTATATGCTCCCCTTASAAAGAACCTGTAAGAACCTTTTTCCACTCAAGTTCCAATGGAATTGCGTAGGGGTTTATGTATATTTCTATTAAATGCTTTGACTGCTAGCTCTGTGCGTGACACACCCTGACTTCACTGACATGAGGAGAAAGTCCTATTTTCCGTCACATATCAACTATTTGATTCACTTGTTATTATATAAATTAAAATAAGCAATTAATAATTYATTCCTATATAGCTTTTCAATGGCATTTCTCAAATTTTTTCACAGTCTAAAACAAATTGTCAAGGTCTATCGATATGTAACCTGATTCAATTTTGTGACTGGAAGTGTTTTCTGCACCTCTTGCTAAAACATCGAAGAAAATTTGATCTAAAACAGCGTCGTCTCTTAAATCATAGTTAATAGAGAGTCCTCTCTATYAACTATGMTTATATCAAGAAGTAACATTCTGGATTTGCATCTATTTTGATATCGTTTTGAGCTCACGTTGTCTCCTAATTTTAGGTTTAAAAGGCCAGATTGACACTGACAAATTTGGACGGAAACCCTACACTTATCAAATATATTTATCCCTCTTTAGATATCTTAAAGAAACTGAAAGAATACGACATGCTTTTTGCTGATAAGGCTCTTTTTGGTTGTGGCAACTTATTGAAAGAAAAAGTCGGCATTCCTACCATAGTTGACTTTTCGTCCTGGGGGTTTAACGACTTCAACAACTGGCAAAATGGTATCTCCTGGCATTTATCMTCCATTCCTGCAGATGGGATCTACAACACGAGAGAACATGGGATTCCTTTCTTGTGGCGTGCGGCTAATGTTCTTGCATATCTTCTTATCAATATRTTAGGAAAAGCGGCAACAAGACTTGTAATGGGCTCTCTAAAGAGCAAACATGGAATCGCTCCGGATAAGTCGTTCCCGCAAATTATATCCGAAACTGACCTTGTTCTGATGCCAATTGACTGGTCAATAGAATGGCCACGCCCTGTTCCACCTAGTAAGTCCTAGTGAGTTCACGAACATTCCAATCAAGTRTAGTGYTGTTRTCCTTCACGAGTTTGTAAGGTTTCTTGTGACTGGAGGAAAATCGGATAAGGTCKTACAAAACCGTGAATGGCTACCCGTAATTACATTAGTATATTGCGGTGACTGATTTAAAATTTATGATTTATAACCTCGTTCCAGACTGCCTAGGTGTTTAATTAATTTAGTTTGGGATTCGTATCAAAGTTTGTGATAGAACTCTAACAAAGAGTATAAAACATGTTTTTTATAGACTGAAATCAAAAGACACTTTAGATGAAGTGTTGCGGTAACGTGAAAAAAGACATATAAAGGAATTGAACAACCGGGAGGACTGTGAGTCGGTATAAACAGATGTGTATTTAAACTGACTGTATTTTTTATCTTCAAAAGATGTAAAAGTTATTGGACCAACAACGCCAAAACAATCCAAGCCATTGCCTGAAGATTTGGATACATTTATGCGATCTGCAAGCAAAGGAATTGTACTAGTATCATTCGGAAGCATGGCAAGTTCTTTAGATGACACACGTTCCAAGATTCTCTCGGAAGCTTTCTCGATGCTGCAAGGTTACAAGGTTAACCGTTATAGAGTACTWAAAAACACTTAGTATCAACTAGTTTGTAGTCTAGATGAAATCATTTCCCCTAGTCAAGTGCGTCTCAAGTGATAACTATATTAGTTCGAACCAATCCTGGATTCCATTTGGTGGTTATTAGGTTAGTTTCTTCCCTTGCGCTAGGGACTGTGCGACAAGAGTTTTGGGCTAAAACGTGGTCACTGTGAAAGTCTAAATTAATATGCACCTGTTGCCCTTCGACACTTAGATATTTTTACTGGAACCAATCCTGGATTACCGTACATTTGGTGCCTTTCTAGGCTGCAGTTTTTTTTCACTTGTACTTGGGGCGGTAGTCTTTTTAACCGCGTATTTTAACAACTGCGCATGTTTTTGAATTATTTCTAAGTCTATTCCACTTCACCTTATATTAACATTGGATTTTGAAATTAAGAAACAGCCTTAGATTTTTCATATTAAGCATCCTTCATATTACAGCCTGAAATTTCAGATCAGATTCTTAATTTACAAATATAAATTTCTTGCAAGAATTGAAATATGGCCCACTGTACGTAGGTGTATGTTAGAGTGCTTACCCTGTATTTGCACTCCATTATAATCCATGTAGCTACAGTGTAGCATGAGAATGTGTGAAGTATATGATATAAAATGCCCCATACACTAATACAAGTACTCATTTTCTTACCAGAAATTAAGAACCCCATTTAAGAACCTAGAGAGCCTGATTTCAAGTTAAACACAATTTATATAATAACTTGTTCAGGCTTACTCGGAAAAATCTAGGTTCCTATATCCAGGGATTTACTCTACTCATACCAATTATTACTATATTACCTTAGGTTCTGTGGAAGTACAAAAAGTCATTTTATATAAAAACCTGTTCAGGCTTACTCAGAAAAATCTAGGTTCCTATACATAGGGTTTTACTCTACTCATGCCAACAGAGTTAGTAACTACTAGCTCTCATACCAATTATCACTATATTACCTTAGGTTTTGTGGAAGTACAAAAAGTCATTTCCTGATGTGAAGAACCTGAAGATTGTATCATGGGTCCCTCAAAATGACATTCTTGGTCATTCAAGCCTTAGACTCTTCATGACTCATGGCGGTGTTAACAGCGTCTATGAAGCTGCATATCATGGCGTACCAATGCTTATTACTCCTCTTTGGGGAGACCAAGCTGGCAATGCTGCCAAAGTAAAAACAGCTGGGTTTGGAGAATCTGTAAATATCAGAACAGGAGATAATTTTACTGCAGAGCATATTGCTGTGCAAATGAATAGAATACTGGACAAYCCTAGGTAGGTTATCAAAACATTTGTCATGGTTTGCACCCATAATCTTTATTACATTAGTTTTTTTTTCCCATAATGAACTTTAATCCTCTCTCTATACTACAATCTGCTTTTCGTGAGTTAGCTCAAGTGAACTACCWTTGTATCAGTTGAGTATGATGATGATAATGATGTTGATGACTATGGCTTTTCAATTCAGATATAAAACAAATGCCATTAAAGTGTCAAAACTGTTACAAGATCGCCGTCAACCATCAACAGAAGATGCTGCTGACTGGATGGAATATGTATTGAAACATAACGGTACAYGYCACCTTCGGCCAAACTCCACACAGTTACCATTTTACCAATATTTYTTACTAGATGTCATCTCTTTCCTATTGGGTGTTATATTTGTGCTTTTATTCATTGTCTATAAATCCTGTAAGTTTGTTAAATACAAGTACTGGTTTAAAGGAACAAAGCAAAAACTTCAATGAGGCTGTGATTACTGTCAAACTGAATCTATAGAGCCTCAACACCACTGTGTAACTGCWTTTAGTACAGTTGGAATGGACCATGGTCCATATAATCAAAGAAGAAACAGTCTTGATCACAAGAGCTGAATGAAATAGTTGATATGGGATGGAAAAGATGTCTTTTTCTTCATTTCAGGAACGTCAGATTGTGTCATGCACAGAGCAGTCCAAGCGCTTAGTCAATAGTCTTCTTCACAGTTCCCAGCGCCATCTTGAAAGATAGCCGTGCCTTTGCATCGAAGCAAGACGACCGTTGAGCGGGCAATGATAGATTTAACCTTCTTTCACACCTACAGACAATTATCCACAGGTATCTATCATCGCACGCTCAACGGTCATCTCGCTTCGATGTAAAGGCACGGCTACCTTTCAAGATGTGCATGGAACCGTAAAGGAGACTATTATGCATACCGCAGAAATTGTTATTTGTCTAACAATATAATTGCATGCATCATATGCAAATTTGGTTTCCATGGACACAAGAAAATTGCAGTTATTTCAGATCAAATTCATGACATATATATAACTTATATATACGTGTATTTTTGGCGAATTATCAATTTCTGGTGTCCAATTTTCCCTCGAAAGATTTCCGCGACCTCGTGTATTTGGACATCTGATCCCCATCACAGYGCCTGTGATCCTGCCCCCAAAACTAAAATCCCAAACCAATCCAGCGTTATCAATATATTTCGATTTTATATAAGCTTATGGGATATAAAAGAACGTTGAGTCACGTCCATGACCGAAATGTTGTAGTCAAACTACATTCCAAACTCTCTTTCTAATACTTAAACAGTACTGTGATAATATTATAAGCTTTCTCATTTGAGTTATACTTTAGATTCAATGTATTCAATTCTCAAGTTAGATTTGTCCTATTACAAAGATGGAACAAGCTCATTGCTCAGAATGGCTGACATGCATGGCGGAGCCAGCATTTTGCTTTGACGGGGAGTTTCTACCACAAAGAAATGACWATTTGATGCAATAACAAAACATTGATATAAAGTTATGTATTTCTAATACGTGTAAGCATAATTAAATCTTTAAATATAGAAATTTTGGTTGTATTGTATAACTCACCCTGACATCAATCGCTTCTCTTTGCGCCGCTTCAAACATGCCCGCCATTTTATTTTCATAAACGCGCGCTACGAGTGACGTATTTCCGCTCTTACCAAATATGGAAGTTTAATTGTTGGCACAGGCAATCATTATTAAGTGTACATGACGCAAAATGGCAAGTATTAGTCCAGTCGCCAACAAGCAGAGGAGCAAAAGGGGACAGCGACTGGACTACAACTTGCCAAACTTGAGCACAACTCGAAGGTACAGTGAATCGGGGCCGGGGACTTGCCGAGGAAACACCGATAGTTATATTTTATTGATTCATTGTCCCACTGGACACTGGTGAAAAACGCACTGCGCATGTCCATAGCCTTAAAGCGATTTTTGTGAAAGTTTTTTACAATTTATAAGCTCGTTCACGGATATATAAGATTCATATTTCCATCAATCTTTGTTCATGACATGTTCTTTTAGTATGTAGTTTCTATTTTTATCTTGTTATTTCTATTTTGAGAAAATGAGGTTTTTCGTAGTGTTTTCTGTGTTGTCGCTGTAAATCGCCAGTCGCTCTGTTTACAGATTTCAAGACGCGAGCGGACACGCGAGCGCCCACTGGCGAGAAAGCTGTGGGCATGCGCAGTGCGTTTTTCACCAGTGTCGTCCCACTGTAGTTAGGAGGCTCACGCGATGAGTTTGCATGGTGCGCGGCAATTTGTCCTCCAAAATTGATCGTTTTCACCCATTCCCATGAAATTTAAAAGATAAAAGACCGGCGGCCATGTTGGAGGAATGAACAATAGATATTAATGAGAACGATGTCAGGTCAGACGATGAGTCTGCTACTGGTAACATTGTAACCCAGT